CCGGGATTTGAACCCGGGACCTCTCGCACCCTAAGCGAGAATCATACCCCTAGACCATCAGGCCTGCTGAGAGAAATGATTGAATTAGAACAACTTTCTCTTCTCATTTTCCTACATCAGATTTTTAAAGTATCCGCTACAAAAAAATAAAATGTACACTAAAGAAAATGGAATTTTCTAAACGATAAACTTATATATATCTAATATCCTTCCATGAAATAAATATGTCAGTCTGTAATTACTCTTATAAGTAGTGCTACATGAATAAATAATGATATTATTTATACTAATACATGCAATTTTGGTCATGCACGTATGTATATGTATGACCATTTCAAAAACACTTCTGGTCATGCAACTTATGTATATGTAGGATTATTCCAACACACATGTACAGGAGCTTTATCCTTCCTAAACTCCTATATACATCTCTCCCATTGTCATTAAGCCTAACCAACACCAACGGAGAGCAACAGAAACTGCCAAGGCGTGTCAGTAGAATTATCTTGGGCCCAAGTTACACCACCTAAAGCGTAGGGGGAAAGCTAGATCAGTAGCAACTCGAGGAGGTCATGACGTCAGCTTTTGATGACGTCGCAAAAGTTGCGATTCTATTTATGGAAAACACATAGGGTTTATCATTCCTTTTTGGTCTTTTCAATTTTCAAAAAGGATGAAAAATTATGATTTTAATGGTCACATTTTCAATGAACAATCACCCAAATAGTCCTGTGGATGAGAAGAGTGGGCAATTTTTATGCATGAATAATTCTCAAGTGGAATTGATCACAGTGCGAGTCAAACCATAGGCCTGTACTTTTTACTCAACTTGAAGAAATTCACCATCTTTTATTAATACATCCATGCACTCAATGAATGAATGAAAAGTATATTATATTTAATGTGTAGGATACCAGGCCGGGCTGTTTTTAGAAAAAAAATTCATGTTTACATTTTGTACAATACCCAAGAGTGTGAAAGTTTCAATGTCTTTTCAAGAGCTATTGACTTCACAGTCTTGTTGGCCTGGTATCCGATACATTAAATAAAATACCTTTCATTCATTCACTGCCAGCAATTCCACTTGAGAATCATTCATGCATAATAATTGCCCACTCTACTCATCCACAGGGCTATTTTGGTGATTGTTGATTGAAAATATGACCATTAAAATCATTATTTTCCATCCTTTTTGAAACTTGAAAAGACCAAAAAGGAATAATAAACCCTATGTTTTTTTTCCATAAACAGTTATAAATGTTAGGATAAGAGTAAACTTCAATCATTATACC